AATCAGATTTTTTTGCTGCAAACCACTGCAAACAAACTGTTACGGAAAGGAAGACCTACCGTCTGAATATGATTTCAGGCAATTTAAGTGTCCGCATGAAATTTGTTTTAGAATTTGAGGTTTTCTTCAAAGACTAATTTTCAATGAAATATTTGACAAAAATTTTGAAAACAATATTTAATTAGTTCTAAAATCATAAGCAAAAACTTTTAAAACAAAATTAACGTTTATGATATAATGCTAATAAAAAAAATTATAAAAACTTATTTTGGCTTCAATTTGTGGCCTTATTTCAGAAACAATATAAAGTTTCAATAAATTTAAATAATTATTAGATATGTGATTTTAATAACGTCTAGAACTGTTTAAAAAAAAGATAAACCCGTTAATCAAGATGTATGATTCGCATCTCTAACAATAAAAACTAGTTCCCACCCCCTCTTTCAAAATTAAAAGCCCATTAATGAAGATAATCTGATCATTAAAGTGGCTTCTTATATGAATTCCGCTTCAAAGCTTCAGCTCATTAGCATATTTTTCTCGCGTTCAAGTCCCAATCTCCACGTTCATCTTGGCTGTGCTCTGAAATCGAAGTGCACTTTTCTATGATTTCCCGGTGCTCATTTTTCGATCCGCTGGAAAACAAACAGAAGAGATCGCTGTCGATAGCACACGTTTGTCCCGTGCGCTCATTTCTGCATAAAACATAGAAATAATTACACGTCGGTTTCCGAGAATCGCGCCACGGCCTCCGCTTGCATGTTCATTAATATGGAGCACAATGGGAACTCAGCGTATTTCCCCCTTTCATGGACGGTGGATTTAATAAAAAGCAAAATTTTCCATTGGCTGCAAACGGCGAAAAGCGTAATGCGACGGCTGCACGTGCCAGACTCAAACCCAGGACCCCGATATTGATCGTCGTCTGGCTGGCTGCTGATTCACCCTCAACCCCTTCCCATACTGCAATGCTCACACCACACCCAGACACAACAGAAAATAGCCCTTCTAACGAGTATAACGCGACGCCCGAAATAGATCCTTCGTCGCAAATATTATTTTTTCCTCTTGTCAGGGAAAATAAATAAATGGTTTCGGCGCCTGGAAATGACCACACGATTTGATGGGAACCATGGCGTGTTGCCCGTCGACGGTTGTAAATCAATTTGCTGCAGGAGGAAGGATTAATTTCCCTCAGTGTTATTATATAAGTAATGGTCGCTGTGGTTTTACACTGGGGGAGATTGGCTGATATTTTATACTATGTACACGTGAAAACTTTCTGACAAGCACTTTCCAGTAGGCTGCTCTTGTTTAATGGAGATAAATTATAGTTCACCTTATACTTTATAGTCATTTTTATTAAAATAATCTGTAGAGTTTGGCTCACCAAAATTGTTGAGCTGATTTTTTTTTTTTTTTTTAATTTATAAAAATGATACAAAAGTGAGCTTTTCATACTTTCATAGAACATTCAATTGCATTCTATTGTTAAAATACAATGGGGACCGTTCATGAATGATTTAAGATGAATTGGACAGATTTTTTTTGTTACGAGCACCACTCTGATTTTTAGATATGTTGTTAGGGTTGATGAGAAACTACTTTGACCAAATTTTGGGACAAAAATTTTTAATACTTTTTGAAATATTCGGGTTTCTTGAAAAACTAAAAAATGCTTATATCTTTGCTCGTATTAATTTTGAAGTCATGAATTTTCACTCTAGTAGGTAACTTTTTGTTCTGAACAACTTTGCTGTTGACCAAAATGTCGTAGGTCAAAGGTCAAGGTCACTAAAATGCATTTTGAGTTTTTAAGGCCCATTTTCTCAAAAAAGTATATTTTTGATATTTTTTGTGTAAATGCAAAAAATGTAGGCCGTTAAATTCTACATCTGGTCAGCAAAATTCGCGATGGCGTTATTTTTAGTTTTTAAGATATTTTCATGTAAAATTAAAAAGATGCGTTTTGCCGATATGCCGTATTTTGATATTTTTCTGTTTTTTCATTTCTAGGAGGACTAGAGCAATGCGGTTTTCACTGTTATACCCAATTTTTAATTCTGAACAACTTTTCTGTTGAATAAAAATACCTAGGTCAAAGGTTAAGGTCAGTAAAATGTATTTTTATTTTTCAAGGCCATTTTTCTTAAAGAAGAATACCTCGGATTTTTTCCGTGGTATAGGAAAAAATGTAGCCCAATAAATTCTACATCTGGTAGGTAAAATTCAGAATGGCGTTATTTTTAGTTCAAAAGATATTTCAATAAGTATTTAAAAAGTTCGTTTCCGTACATATTTTCCATAGTAAATTCTAACTTTTTTTTGCTCTTTTGAAAGCTTATTAAAATATCTTTTGAACTAAAAATAACACCATTCTGAATTTTTCCTATCTGATGTAGAATTTAATGGGCTACATTTTTTCCTATACCACGGAAAAAATCCGAGGTATTCTTCTTTAAGAAAAATGGCCTTGAAAAATAAAAATACATTTTACTGACCTTAACCTTTGACCTAGGTATTTTTATTCAACAGAAAAGTTGTTCAGAATTAAAAATTGGGTATAACAGTGAAAACCGCATTGCTCTAGTCCTCCTAGAAATGAAAAAACAGAAAAATATCAAAATACGGCATATCGGCAAAACGCATCTTTTTAATTTTACATGAAAATATCTTAAAAACTAAAAATAACGCCATCGCGAATTTTGCTGACCAGATGTAGAATTTAACGGCCTACATTTTTTGCATTTACACAAAAAATATCCAAAAATATACTTTTTTGAGAAAATGGGCCTTAAAAACTCAAAATGCATTTTAGTGACCTTGACCTTTGACCTACGACATTTTGGTCAACAGCAAAGTTGTTCAGAACAAAAAGTTACCTACTAGAGTGAAAATTCATGACTTCAAAATTAATACGAGCAAAGATATAAGCATTTTTTAGTTTTTCAAAAAACCCGAATATTTCAAAAAGTATTAAAAATTTTTGTCCCAAAATTTGGTCAAAGTAGTTTCTCATCAACCCTAACAACATATCTAAAAATCAGAGTGGTGCTCGTAACAAAAAAAATCTGTCCAATTCATCTTAAATAATTCATGAACGGTCCCAATGGAGAAATAATAATTAAACATTAGAAATAATAATTTTTAATAATATTTTTGAACCTTAACTTTCCAAAGTACCAAATTATTATATTAAAATGTGCAAATTTTTATTTTTGTTCCACTGTTTTTTATGATGTGTTGAAGAATTAACTAAATTTTTAACAAGAAACTTGCTTAATACGCATAAATTTATATGATAATTTTAAAATTATAAACGGCTCTAATTAATCTCCACTTAGCCTGGGGAAAAGGTGTCACATTTATTTAGAGAGATGCTAATTTTTCAATTTTATATTTCATGCTGCTCAGGGCGCCTCTCCGAAAATAGAAAGTTGTCACTTTTCACGCAACTATGATAAATTATTCATGATTAATGAAAAGAAGACCACGCAGCGGAATGAATTTTAATGAAATTATGAATTATGATATTAAACTTCTGCCAAGACGAGTTGAGTGTCTCATCTTTTCATCGACCTGCAAGACCTTTCTACCTCCGCCACTTACTGCCCAATTGGCAGCTGTCTGAAAACTCCGAATGGGAATTTACGATGCAGCAGGAAATTAGTGCAGGCATAAAAAGCTCCAAGTTAAAAGAAAGAAAGAAAGATGCACACCCACGGCTTGATTTTTTTTTATTCGGGTGGGGTGACGTCAGCCTCTGCATCGAATCGAGCACTCCAAACGAATAAAGCAACTGCTCCTTTGCTGTGCTCCGAGGTCATGCAGACTGGCACCGGAGAGGAGTGAGTCATCCCGCCACCACGCCCCGGCGCCCACCAACCCCCAAAAGTATTGATCCATTGCGGGGGTGCGTTTCTTAAAGTGGTGCAACAGAACCCTCGCTCCAGAGGGAAATCCACAGTGCGTTTACGAACCTGTTGGATTTGGAATTTCCCACCCCCCAGTGCGATTTATACTTTTATAGTACTTCAATCTGGCATTTCCTTGTACATTAAAAAAAAAAACGTGAATAAATGAAGGTGGAGTGGAATATGAAATATGGAAAATCATTAATTAAATTGCAATGCCAGTTCATAAAAGAATTAAAGTGGAAAATAAGTAATGCAATTTAATGGCTATTTAATTTTGTACTGTAATCAAATTTTTGATCTTTTTTTTTAAATTAATTTATTCAATCATAATTTGATTTTAAATAGAAATTTAATGTAGAAAATTGTAATTATCCGCATTGAATCAGGATTAAATTTAACCACCGCAATTCTCCCTTTGAATTTTAATTGTCAAAAGTAATAAATATTGGTTTGACTAAATTTTTTTTATTTGACAGGATTAATTTCAATCAAGCTCAATTTATGTAGTTTTCAATTGAGTAATTAATTTTTTGATTAAAAACTTCACGCGTGTGTAACAAAACAAAAGCTGGCTAGTCGAGAGCTTCACTTTTTCCGGCAGGTTAACTTTTTTTTCTTTGGTCGCATTATTATTTTACGCTCTATTAATTGTAAGAACCAACAAACTAATCTATAGTTATTTCCTCACATGATTGACACCTGAAAGCAACGGTCGTGGCTTTCATCTGTCAGAAAGGTGAACAAATTAACGCATCTCGTCTGTCGTTGCCAAATAGGGGAGGCAGTTAATTTGATTATAAAAAATCGGCCTCAAAATTGACTGTGAACGGTCTGTCCTTTAAAAAATAATAAACTTTGAGAGCGCGACGTGTTTATGATTATTTACTGATGCAATATGTTTAGCAACCAAAGATAAAATCAATGGTCTGATGGAAGGCGACTGGTGTGCCACGGCAGCGACTGTGGTCCAGACTGACATCACCAGTGGATGAAATTAAAACGCTAAGTGCACGCCTGATTAAATTACCGTCAGCTTCAATATCAGAATACTTTAATTATTACAATAGTTGCTAGTGTGAGGTTATTAAAACCACCTTGTGAGAATTTGTTGATATTTTTATATTTTTCATAGAAAAACATTTGCAGAAGTATCAATCTTGGAAAATGAAAAATAACAGTGGGATAATGAGTTTCTTGAGGAAAGACACACTTACGAAATTAATTGTACAAAAATAACTATTGTCTCCTAATACATAAATATTTTTTCAGTTTGATTGAGTCGTCAACACGGACATTCTTAGTTGAACACGAGAGAGAACAGAAGGTAATACTTAAAATGAAAATTGAGATGTATTTACAGCACTAAAAAGTCAGTTCCACGTTTGAGACAAGCGAATTCTCCTGCAATAATTTTCATTCCGTCAGTTATTAAATAAATAGCTTTGGTTCTATCACTCATTCCTTTACGCATACTTCAAAAAGCATTCATTTCATTAGGACAATTTATTTGAAAATAATATAATGGTACTCACCGCACTTGTCTATTTGTTTTCCTCTTTGTACTGTTTATGGAGGTGAGTTTTGTATGTTTCTTGATTACTCCACATGTCGGCAGCAGTCAAATTGAGAGGACTGTCATTGTTGGGCTCTGAAAATTAAAGGAGACGATCAATAATCAATCCCTGTATGGGGCAAAGTTGCCATGTGCGAATATAATAAAGAACTCTTGCACTTAAAATATCCACTCTAACGTACTTTAAATCAACCCTTAAAAAAAGTTAAAGTATCTCCATTATAATGGTGATTGTTTCTGAATTTCAGTTAATTAAAACCTGAATTAGCAGGAATAAAGATAAAATCAGATATATTACATTGCAACAATAATAAACAAGATTGAGATATCAAAATGAACAAGGAAGTTAAAATTGCAAGATAAGTTGCAAGTACATTTTCCTCGAAATATAATCAAATTACTTTCGATTTTTTTCTCCTCAGCTTTAAATGCAACCTCAATTTCAAGTCATTATAATGGATCATTAACTAATTTTTTTCTCAAACTGTAGCCTGAAATTTCAAAAACCAATGGCCAATTTTTTTTTTTTTTTTTTTTTTTTGCAAAAGAACCAACCTCCTAACAGAGACTGAATGGATAACAGTATGGTTCGGACATCGTAGAGCGCAGACCACTTGTCTTTTAGGATGTCAAGGCAGATATTTCCAACAGTATCAACGTTGGGATGGAAACACTTTGTGACGAACTTCACAACCGGCGCTTGATATGGGTAGCTATTGGCGAATTCGAGAGACAACTTGTAAGTGAGACCTTCGTAGACCTAAATCAATAAAGATCAATATTGAGAAACCAAATTAAAGATATAAATTACTGTTCCAATTGGTCCTTGAATCGTTCCAATCCACTTAAATAAATTGTCACTCTCAGGAAAGGCAGATATTCCTTTTTCAGCACCCATCTGCCAAACAAGAAAGTTAATGAGAATTTTTTATATTTTAGTTGTAATTACGAACCATCAGAATCATCAGCTCTTTTTGGAGTCTGGAAAAAAATAAAAATTATACTTACATAAATATTATGATCAGGTTTATGTGCGTTGCTGTTTGTGTATGTATTTTTGACAATTTACTTGAGAAATATGAAATATATAAAATACATATTATGTTATTTCAATTCAATCTTATATGTTATTAAAATAAAAAAATATTGCTGAGCAATTATATAATCTGATTTTTTTTTAACGATAGAAAGCAGTAGAAACTAGAAACAGTAAAATTTGTGTGTGCCCTAAAACCTAAAATTGATTTCCCACATTCATGTCGAAGCGACATTCCCAGCATGGGTGGGATCAGATTCAGATTGCCATGCTTTGATTGAATAACAAATGCCGAAAATTTTCATACAAAAAGAAAATGTGTTGCGTGTTCATACACGAATGTGCTGAGCAAGCAATGAAGCAACAGGCAATATGGAATTTTGATAGGGTGTCGCTTTCAATTTAGTGCCGGAAATCGCCGGAAAACGTTCGATTTTTACCTTTTGGACACGGCGTGACTGTCTTTGGACGTCGCAATGAAGTCCTCGTTATTCTTTGGCACATTGGAAGTCTGTGAGTAACTGGGATTCACGTTTTGAGCCATTTTTTTCGAATTCGCCAAGCAACTGACTCACGTCGCCGTTTTTCAACAGTCCGTTTAAAATGTCGAGCCACAAGCCGGCGTCCGGCGATTCGGTGGCCAATCACAGCGCTCGGCCAAACGCCAATCAGCGCAAGGCTGTCAAAATCAAAAGGCCAGCGCGGTAAAACGATGTTATATAGCCTGCGACAAGTTTGTTGATTTTTTTTATTAAATTTTTTTATCCATTATTATTTGTTCTTCTCGGTCAATAAAAAAATTTAAATTGGAAAAAAATTAAATAGGAGAAAAAATTTATTCTAATTTAATTAATTACGAAAAGTTTTTACTGGGGAAACATTAAATGCATTAAATAATTAGGATTTTTTTTTAAGAAAGCATTGATTTGTTCGACAAAAAATGGCACACTCTGTTATTTAGCTAAAGCTTCCGAGTCAAAATGAGACTCTACACCTGCGCGCCGCATGGACTAGCTAGTTTGAGGGAAGCAAAATATTAATAACTTTGAGCAAAATTAAATTTATATGGCCATAGCGATTCATTAAACAAATAAAATTATGGTAGAATTTACACAATTAATTTATAATATTGATATATTCAATAATTTATTTTGTCTTTTCGGTCTTTTCCATAGAAAAATTGCCTCTCATCCCATTTCCTGGCTGCATAATGTATTTTCGAAAAATAAATAATACTACTTTTATGATCAAGAATGAAATAAAATATTTTCCATTGTAACAATTTGCAATTTTTTCTTTTAATATTCAAAATTTGCTAAAATTTTAAATTATAAGCAAACCTTCATGATTCATGATATTTATGATTAAACAATAACAGAGTATATTGGTGATCCATATCGATGTGCCCGATGTGCCTAATATAATAAAATATAACACAACTCAAAATTATTTAAATAGATCACACTGCAATTTGGTTTACTAGATCAGCATAAATATTTTTTGAGAATTATGAATTGTAGCATTTAGGAAATATGTTTGAAATTTTCCAAGGATAAGTAAATAAAGTGGGGCATAATATTATGGATTATTTCATTTTGGAATTATAAATTATTTACACTGCTTTTAATTTGTAAGATCAATAATTTATATAGTATTTTATACATAGCATTAGATATAAATTAATTACATTAAATAAAGGAATCATAATAAAGTATCTAGGGGGAATCTGACTCTGGGGAAGATACATTATTATCACTTGTACCGTTGTCGTCTGAATCAGTGGAACTGCTGTTGCGTTTAAGAGGTTTCTCTTTAGCTTTCATTTTTGCTTCCTCTTCTTCCTTTGTCGCTTCTTTTGTCTCTTCATCGTCTTCTTCCACAAGGGCTGATTTGTTTTCGCATACTAAAAAATTTTCAATTCAATAAAATTTTTCGAGCTAAAATAATATGTATTTATATTTTCTTCTATACCTTGAAAGGCCTGTGGATACTGCGTGCTTAATTTCGACTTCAGCGCCCTGGTCCGCTTAAAAATATTTTCCAGGTCTTTTTTCATTTCCATCAGCAACTGGGAATGTTTCTTGAATTCTGCTTGAGCCATTTGCAGTCGTCCAGCCGATAAAGCGTTGCAGTTTATCAGCATCTCGTTTGTCTTTTCAAAGCGCTGAAGCCTAAAATTGAAAAAGAATTAAAAGCCTTAAGATAATTAATTGACAAAGTTATAAAAAAGCTAACATTTGCTTCTGCGCCCGGATCATCGATTCAACATCCTGCTGATTAACAAGCCCCGCTAGGCCTTGAATGAAAACTTCAGGCGCCGTATAGTTTTGGAAGCATTCAATGCTTCCAATTTCACTTTCTGGAGTTGTGTCTGCCATGGAATGAATTGGAAATCGAGAAATTTGCTATTATAGAAATGAGACTAGAGCAAAATTTGTATCACATCGCTGCAAAATGTCAACAAATCAATGCAAATTACAAATATCGCGCCAACGCACACCAATCCTGTTGGACCAATCAAAGTCGAGATTTTAGCCTCTCAATCACTCTTCCAATCGCAGAAAAGATCCTTGGCGATCCTTGGTTTTGCTCGTGATCATGGTCGCCCATCCCCCCAAATAAAATTCATTTCATTTTTCATTGAGGGAGGACAGAGGACACCCAAACAAGCTGAAGAATGGTAAATATTGCATTATAAAAAGGAAATCAATTGAGTTTTAAGGCACATCCTATTAAAAAGCAAAACGGAAATTCCCGTCTCATTTAAATTCACAGAGGCACAGGTCTTAAATCGGCTTTTAATCTGTTTTGTTTTGGTCAGCAGCAGCCGACGTCGCCCCAGCAATTGTCACCCGTGGACGAGCAGGAGAAGCTGCTGGACACGGCCCTTGGAGTTGTCAAAGTGCAGGCTCTGGAGATGAAAAGATGTTTGGACAGGAACAAACTCATGGACGGCTTGAAACACGCATCCACCATGCTCGGAGAACTCCGAACGTCTCTTCTCTCGCCCAAAAGCTATTACGAGCTTTGTACGTACATATAATTTTTTAACAGTTCTATATTTTGATTTTTTTACCAAAATATTTTTTACACTTCAGATATGGCAACGACCGATGAACTGCGCTATTTGGAGCAGTATCTTCTGGACGAGTTCCAAAAGGGCCGCAAAGTAACAGACCTGTACGAGTTAGTGCAGTATGCTGGCAATATTGTCCCTAGGCTGTGAGATATATATTTTCAAAAAGTTTTGTAAGCAAATTAATTAACGTCTTCTTTTAAAGTTATTTGTTGATAACTGTGGGCCTGGTTTACATCAAAACCAACGATTCGATCAAGAAAAATCTGTTGAAAGACATGGTTGAGATGTGTCGAGGCGTCCAGCATCCCTTGCGAGGTCTGTTCCTTCGCAACTACCTCCTGCAATGCACAAGGAATATTCTTCCTGACATTGTTGAGTCAGATATTGAGCACGAAGGCACGGTCAAAGACTCCATCGACTTTGTCCAGCTGAATTTTGCAGAAATGAACAAGTTGTGGGTGCGAATGCAACACCAGGGACACTCAAGAGAAAAGGAGCGCAGAGAACGAGAGCGGGAAGAGCTTAGGCTGTTGGTCGGAACCAATTTAGTTCGTCTTTCTCAACTGGAGTCGATCAACGTAGAAAGATACAAAAAGGTAGTTTTAAATCATGGCTTATAATCAAATGCTTAAAAATTGTTTCCAGCTTGTCTTGCCAGGAATTTTGGAGCAGGTGGTTAGTTGTCGAGATGCAATCGCTCAGGAATACTTGATGGAGTGCATCATTCAGGTAATAATTATAATTTAAATCTTCATATAAGTTTGCTTTAAGATTACTGTTAACTTTTCATAGGTTTTTCCTGACGATTTCCATCTGCAAACCCTGCATTCCTTTTTGAAAGCGTGTGCTGAGCTGCAGCAGGGAGTCAACGTGAAAAATATCATAATTGCACTAATAGACAGGCTTGCTCTCTACTCACAGAGGGCTGATGGTGGCATTCCAGCAGAGATACGCCTGTTTGACGTTTTCTCTGAACAAATCGCTCAAATTATTCAGGTAAGATGATTATTAATTTTTATTTTACTCTCTACTTATCAGAACAATACTCAGGCTCGCCAGGACATTCCAACTGAGGACATCGTTGCTCTGCAAGTGTCTCTCATTAACCTCTCTCTTAAATGCTATCCCGACAGAGTTGATTACGTCGACAAAGTTCTTGAAACAACGGTGGATATTTTCAAGAAAATGGAGCTTCAGCGGTAAATTAAAATTTACTTGAAAAGTTTAATTATTTTTAATTAATTCTAATAATTTTTTTATTAGAGTCCAATACAACAGTGCTGTGTCAAGAGAGCTTGCAAAACTTATGAAAATCCCAGTGGACAATTACAACAACATTTTAACAGTGTTGAAATTGGACCACTTCGCTCCACTGATCGAATACTTTGATTTTTACGGAAGGAAAGATTTGTCTGCATATCTTGTCACCAATGCTCTTGAAAACGAAACTCTCATACCATCTCAAGAGCAAGTGGACACTGTGCTGACCATGATTGACTCTATGATCCAAGATCAATCCGACCAGCCCAGCTCCGAAGAGGATCCAGATGATTTTGCTGAAGAGCAGGGATTGCTTGGAAGGTCAGCCACAAAAGCAATTTAAACAAACAGTCTTAAGTCATTAATTTCATTTAATATATTGTAGATTTATCCATCATCTAAAGTCTGAGGTTCCTGACCAGCAATATTTGATTCTGACTGCTGCTAGAAATCACTTCTCTCTTGGAGGTGCTAAAAGAATAAAGTACACCCTGCCACCACTTGTGTTCCAAGCTTACCAGCTTGCATATCAGTATAATTCGTTAAAAGAAGAGGTACTGATTACTTTGCTTGCTTTAATTATAATATATTTTGATTCTCTTTTTACTAGGATGCAAAGTGGGATAAAAAATGTCAGAAAATTTTCCAGTTCTGCCATCAGACCATCAATGCGCTAACGAAAGCAGAGCTTGCTGAGCTCCCTCTGCGTCTATTTCTCCAAGGTGCCATTGCAGCTGGAAGCATTGAGTTTGAAAACCACGAAACTGTTGCCTATGAATTTATGTCTCAGGTAATTTACTTAATATTAATTTTATTTAATTATCTTAATATGATCGTCTTCAGGCATTTTCTTTGTACGAGGACGAAATCTCAGACAGCAAAGCTCAGTTGTGTGCTATCACCCTGATCATAGCCACAATTGAACAGATGGCCTGTTTCGATGAAGAAAATCACGCTCCTCTGCGAACGCAATGCGCTCTGGCTGCCTCAAAACTGCTGAAGAAGCCTGACCAGTGCCGTGGTGTGAGTGCATGTTCGCACTTATTTTGGTCTGGAAAATCAAAAGCGACCGGTGGCGAGGCCATGCGAGATGGAAAGAAGGTGGTTGAGTGTTTGAATAAGGGGTCTCGCATCACCAACCAGTGCATGGATTTGGGAGTCAAGGTTCAGTTGTTTGTCGAGCTGCTGAACCACTACATTTATTTCTTCGAAAAGGGCAATGACCAAGTTACGGTGCAGCTTTTGAACCAACTTGTGTCCAAGGTCAAAGAAGAGCTGCCTAATTTAGAAGCAAACGAGGAGACAGAGCAAATTAACAAGCATTTCACAAACACTCTCGCTCACCTTCGAACAAGAATGAGCGCCCCAGATGCAAATAGTATCAACTTTGAAGGGCTTGTTATCTAAACTTTGGATCAATGATTATGAAATTAAATTTTACTACGACCAGGCATTTTATCTTCCACGTTGGCATTTTATGTTGATCATGTTTTGTTTGGAGAAATTCTATTGTAAATTATTATTGCACTGGGCAAATAATTATTGTATAAAATGAATTATGAAATAAAGCTATCTATTAGAAACTAAGAAACTGATAAAATACTTATTCTCGTCTACTTGTAAAAAAAATTCTGATCAGTTAAAAGATTTGTTTTATTTGGTTTCAAAAAGATCTGGATGTGAAAAAGGTATACACTGAATGTACAAAAATAGGAACATGACATCTTATAATTCAGTGACCAACAATTTCATTTTTAGTACATTTTAGTTTTACATTTCAATATTTAACAAATTAGAGAGATTTTGTATGAAAGACAGTGTAAATCTATGCTAAAAATAAATTACACCATTACATAAACAGTAGAAATTGGCATTACAGTGTTATGGTTTGGACTGCAATGCATGAATAATAAAGAAGCTGGACGCATTGTTTGAACAAAAAGCATTCAAATACACAGCATTGCAGCAATTTTTCTAAGTAGAACTATTATTGAGTAAATGGAATTTCAAAATTTTGTATGGGCCAACGTTACTGTAAGAGCAGGGTTTACAATTTAGAAATATATTTACATTTGCTTCAAATTAAGCATTAAAATATTAATGATTTAACAACTAAAACTATTTCAAAGCTGCAAAATCATACAAACGAGAAAAAATAAATTTCCTAACACCCTGCTCAATATTTTAAGATCACAGCGGCAGCAAAAATTTGTGAATTGCGCCAGAATGCAAAGGCAACATGGTTTGATCAGCAATTGGTCAGGATCAGTAAAGATCTGCAGACTAGCAATCATAGCATCCAGTGGACAAGTGGACTAAGAATGTAAATTTTTTAAAAAGGTTTCAGCAATTGTTAAGTAGATTATATATTTACAAAATATAATATTCAGCCTGTTTCGGCCACCTGTCCACTTCATGCGATTCCTAAATTCTTTCTAGACTAACTACATGCAGAAGCAGTCAAGTCTTCATCCGTGTTTCGAAAAGTTATGACACAATTATCTAACTTTATCTGTTCCAAGTCGTCATCAATGGTTTCGTTCAGATCATTTATTTGGAGAGTAGAATTTGAATTGTGGCACCTCTGCCTGCAAATTGACTCTTTCGGAAGATCAAAACTCTTTTCAGCAGTGGGATGGAACCACCCATAATAGACGAGCATGACAATAATGCCAGCAAAAAAGCTAACAGAAGCTCCAACGAAGACCATAGTGAAATACCAAGGCTGCGTTTCGTTGTAAATACTGCAAGCGTACCAGGTCAACATTCCAAGATTCTCAAAAAAGAAAATCGAATAGTAGAAGAGGTAAAAATTTCTCGTTCGGCCTTGAATGGTTGAGATGTAGACGAACAGATATACTAGGCCAAGGATCCAGCTGTAAGCCACGGTCCAGGCATAGGTGTAGCCTTCGCAGCCAGGTGGAGGCTTCCAATAGGTCAGCCAAATGGTCATTACAAGACAGTGACAAACTACTATAACACCAGTCCAGATGGGATACTTTGAGGCAAGAATGCTGAAGGAGAGAATTCTTGATACTGAAAAAGATATTAAAATTGGTTTAAATTTCCAGTGTACAAATATCAGATGAAGAAATAGAACTTCATGGTGACTTGAACTGTCTTTTCCTAGATGGATTTATTGAGTTGTTTATTGATTAAGAAAAAACAATATCCTGGTCTACATGTTTCAGCTGTGGGCTGCAACGCTGCAGCCATAATTCATAAGCTGTGAAATCGTTATGACAAGAATAAATAAATACAAAAATCAACTTTACAAAAAATAATATATTTTTCCTTAGAATAAACAACTTTTTTGTGAAAATTCATTTAAAGTACTGCATAACATTTTTATTTTATTTTTTAACAGAAATTTAACATTTAAATTCAATTATTTTACAAATTAATTTTTATAATAATTTTGGTTAGGATATTTAGACATGTGTTTTGCGTGTATGTTTCTCGGCGGTGGTCGAGAGAAGACTAAAGAAAGGAACGTTCAAAACAATTGTTTTAATATTGCGACCAAAATTAATATAAAAATTACTTTGCTAAAAAACTGAATTTAAGTGTCAATTTTGTGTGCATGTAATACGTAATTAAAAATAATTTCATAAAAAAATTGATGATTTTTAAAACGTTGATTTTCTACTAATTCTGGTCAAAATGATATCACAGCTTATGAATGAACTATGGCTGCAGCCCGCAGCTAAAACATGTAGAGCAGGATATTATTTTTTCTTAAACAATAAACAACTCCTAAAACCCATCAAGGAAAAGCCAATTTTAAATTAAAACCACCATGAATCAACCATACATAGGGGAATTCTACCACAAAAAAAAACTTCCTTAAAATTAAAAACTTATTGTTTTTTGTGCTTAGCACTAAGCTTGTAATGAAATTTACCTGCTATGAGAATGTGCCACGTGAATTGAAGGGCACTGCCAGCAACAGAAATATTCTGTTTATGGTCTGTGGCGAATCGAATCGATCTTTGGTAAGAGGCCATGGACCAAGCAATGCTAATTAACGATGTTATAATGGAGAGTGCCTGAGGTGCATCCTTTAAGCCAAGGTCACTGATAACTATAATAAAGATTCAAATATTTTACCAAGTTTATTAATTTTTGTACGGATTTAAAAAAATATATCCTATATTGTAAATAATTTACCTTTATCTAGGCCCAAATCTTTGGTTTCTATCATGATTATTGTGAACTGCAGAACAAGCTGTGGTGCAGCTTCAAGAAAACATTCAAAAACCCTCAGCAAGGCAGCGTCGGCATCTTCTTTTAGCATCAGTTTGTAGTAGCGCTTTTGATTCTCAAAATCCTTTCTTTTCTCGGCCTGCCTACATTTCCAACCATGGTGCCACGAATCAGTATACCTGAACAAGAATTAATTAATTTAATTCATGTCCTGCTCATGTCATTTACAATCTGGTTATTTCAATTTCATTAAAAAAGTTTTTAAAGTAACCTCAAAACCGGTGCTAGTTGCAGCATCATGACGAAAAACCTGAGCACCCAGCACCCTTTGGAACGTTTGTCTGTCACCTCTCCAGCCTCGTCCTGCATGTACCTGTAAAATCAAACGTCAAAATGAGTCAATCGTGTGAGTGAAATTTTGATGAACGGACCATCTAACACTCAAAGCGATTGTTATCATTGAGGGCACAAGCACAAACATCAAGGTCAGCACAGCGTAGGTGACTTTGCCTTCACCGAAAAACACCCGAGATAGGTTGATGTCGAAGAGAATATCAATGATGTAGCTGCTGATGGAGAAAATTAGGATCAGCAGCTCCCACGTGTGGACGTGGTAGCGGTGGTTGGGAACCGTGTCCGTCTCGTCGCGACCCTTGCACTCGCAGGGTGCTGTCAGGCGGCTTGCTTCCTCCTTCACTGTGGATCCCATGATGATCTTTCGTCAGTCTGTCGCTCTCGTCAATCGCTCCGACGCAATTTTCAGCAAATGCATCTCCTCAGGTGCGCAGATTCGTCCCGTAATCGGTCATGATGATCAAGTGTGATGATTAAGGCGTCCGATCTTGCCCAACATACATAACAAGAAAACGTGAAGCTAGATCGAAATGTCTAGTCAAGGCCGAGACTAGTGTAGTCAGTGGTAGTGACTGTGACTAGTTGCGTTGCCTGCAGCGATTCACTCGGCGACGCTGATTGGTAATGTTCGATTTGCCAGCCAATCACAGTCGTCCTTACTTTGTTGCAGATAGTTGAATATTTGAGGGAAAACCACGTTTCGAAGGCAAACTGGAAAATTATTTTAATATGAAAAGGAGATACATATAATACAGGTCTGTAACTGTTCTTAAATCTAAGATTTTCAGTTATAAATGTTTCACCACTTCCCTTTCATACCTTCCGAGTTGCATGCGTTGATGCACTTGATGCGTTCAGCCTTTTATCATTTTTTATGTATGTGCAATTTGTATAAAAGTAGGTTATCTCTCTCGCTGAGGTATAATATATAAAATTCCCGGAAAATTCCGAAATTCATAAAATTTTTGTTTTCTTTGATAGTTAAAAAAATGTTAATTGGTAAAATTAAAATAATCATGGTGATTAAAATTGTAATTATTGGCAAGGCCTGTAATAAAATTGTACGTGTGTGACGCATGCAGCCATGCAGGCTAAAAGATATTATGAGAGTCGAGGCTGTCGAGGGCATCGCTGCTGTTTATAATTTTAGCGAATTTTTGTATGTACACGACCAACTACACGACACACCGCGACACACGACACGTATCCGATGTGCAAATAGCATACAATGTTGAGTTGGCCAGCGTGCTCAACACCTGCTCGTACACAGGGCTGACAACTATCCAAGAGGTAAACAAAAACGGAAGGCTTGTCAGGCGTGATTCGAGGACGACAAAGAAGAGTCGAGAGAAGACAAAACAACAAGCAATAAGAAAGAAATATAAGGACCCGTTTTTGCTCCTCAATCCTCAAGCGTCATTTGAGTATACTCTGCAGAAGCGTCCAGCAAACCAGCGAAATATGAATGCCTCAAAGAAAATTGACATCAATCGATCCACGGTTTGTGTTATTATGATGCAATATTACTTTTGCAAATTGATATTGCAACGAAAAATTTTATCGCATTTATAATCACATCATAGTCCTTATTCTTGGGAAATTATCAAATTTTTACATGGCTCATAAGCGCTTAAATAATTCTTATGTTTTTATTTAATTGTGTTACAGTTGATCAGTTTGAAAGCAGAATTGAGCCGAAAGCAAGAGGAGGTCAGTCTTGCAAAAACGCAGAACCAATTCACAAAACCGTCCACCTCAGAGAAGAACACAGTGAAAAAGAGTAATATTTGGGACAAAAAGAAAACTGAGGAAAGCAAGAAGGAAAGGCGCGCGCCCGAGGAAGAAAATGAGAGTTATCTCAAGTCGAGGTACATATTATGTTATGTTTTAATTAAAAAATATATTTTATAAATTTTGAAATTTTAAAACTAATTTTTAAAATTTCAGGTCGGCTCTAGAGGCAAAGGCTAGACTATACGAAGAACTCTCATCACCCAATGCGTCAAATGCAGAAATCCTTGCAGCTCAGCAGTGCTTGTTAGTGGATTTTCGCAGAAAGCAAAGGGAAAGGGACCGCGAAGAGGGCGAAATTGACTATAGGGATGAAGTTGACGACACTCCAGCTGGAGACTATGGAGACGAAGGCGACTGGTATATCGAATGAAGATATTTTTAACAACTCAATTATTTATAATTATTTTTGTTAAAAGGGTTGAATATACAGACTGCCTTGGCAGAACCAGACGATGCCTCCGAGCGGACCTTCCTGATGTGCAGAAACAAAACAACAAACTTGCTGACTCTCTCGGAATGAGGGAAACTCGCAGTCGTAGCAAAAGTAAATCTCCAGAGAGAAAACCAAGGCCTCCGACACCTCCATTGGAAGAGCAGCTGGTGTCTGGAGATTTGCAGAGAGAGGCATTGAGAGAAAAGTGGGAAAAGGAGCAGGCAAACTTGCTCAAAAAAGATGACGTCCACTACCAGGACATTCTCTATGATGGTGAGTACCATTCATTGATTTTTTTTTTATAATTTTTCGACATAAGTGAAACATTTTTTTATTGTTCTTTGATCATTTTATTCGGTATACGTACATTTTGACAATTTTTGTTTTAAGTAAATTGGCAATTAGAGACATAATGATTTACTATTATATTCAAAAGGAGTGATTTTGAAAGATCCATTTTCCAGAATTTGTCGTCAATTTTGATTTTGATTCACTTGGAAGGTAGAAAATATAAAATCCATTCAGGGTGCCACTTTCTTGCTAAACCCTAATTCACAAGATTCAAATTATTTGCTCGGTTTTTCAACATAACTTTCTATTTCTGACTTATCAAATGCCACCCAGCGCTGAATCCTTGTACAAATGTCAGGTTAAAACCATCATTACTCTGTGGTATAGGCAACTATCATTAGAATTTTTCAAGACAGGTCGCATAAATGCAATTAACTTTAGCTACGGTTTTACAATCGAAAGCTTTTGAGTTAGTGTTCTACCTAGCATGAAGCTGCGTTCGTTTGCTTTCTTAGCTAAACATATAATTTTGGAAGTGAGTGTTTGTTCCACTGTAGCAGTTTTCAACGTCGCAAGTATAAAATTTAAAATAGTACAATAAGAAGGATAAATATATGTTGATTTCATCTGGCTACGCTCTTAAAATCGCTAAGAGTACTATATTTTCATCCTGTTTATATAATTATCTTACTTCGTGGAATTACAACTTTTAAAAGTTAAAATCTGAACAGGAATACATGACACGTTTCTCGCTTATGAGAGATAAATTTCAAGATGAGTTTTTATTTTTGCTTTAATCCGTTTAAACATTGTAGCACATCTGTTGTTTAAATTGGGATTCTCTTTTTTAAAATGAATTAAAACCTGGAACGTCAGCTGCTAAATAGGCCTGTAGTGGAAATTGAAAGAAGTCACTCTCTTATACTGATAACCTCCTGTTTACACCATTGCGCTAAAGGAACGTCATTTAACAATCAGCAGGCAAAAAAATAATTTAAAAAATAAACAGCTTCTATCAATAAAAAAAAAAAATTTAAAATTCTCTCGACATAGTAAAAATTGGAAAATAATTCAAACGACATAGAAAAATAAACTGAAATTTGAACACCGAAGAAGTACTATGGCTCTCAAAAGTACTTTCTTGTGAACACAAAATCATTATTGTATGAAAAACATCATTTTCATAAATTAAGCAGCGTTTGGCGTCAGGATATGTCGGCCCACTAACAGAGCAAGGCTCGCAATCAAACAACCCCGGGGGCGGCCCGCCCCACTTGACGGGGGCGATTCGGGCTTTGTGGTCGACTGGTGGAGATCTTTTTTGTGGAGGCCTTTTTCCTCGTTGTCTCCGGAGTCTCTGGTCTTGGGGGACGACTTTGGTGCTTTGGTTGTGACGATTTTGGGGATGGTCGTGGGGGCAGGCGCCGGGGGTGGACGCCGCGTCACTGCTTTTGGCACTTGGTTGCTTGGGGCCTCCTGCTGCTGCTTATTGCACATTTCTCCTCGACAGTAGCAGTACTCGACGCCGTTGGCTACTTGGCAGTCTTGAACTGGAATATTGCTGCACATTTTGGAAACATGCTTTCCTAAAATGAAAAAAGAAAAAAAAACATTATAATTAAACAATATAGTGTATAAGTTAAAAAACTTATTAAAATTGTTCAATTTTACGTATTCATTCTATATTTAAATTTTTTCAATTCAGATATTTTCTAGTAACATAAAGTATTATTATTTTTGCTAAACTTTTTCGTTCAATGAAATATTTGGAAGTTTGCAATTTTTGTAAGTTAAAACCAGTTTAAACAATTTACTAGATTAATATTTTAATTTTTACTTAATAATTTTTCAATTTTAAAATTTTTACATGACAACTTCAGTTGATATTTAAAATAGAAAATATTGTTTTTTATTATTTTTCAAGGCAAAAACTTTCTCAGTATTGATTTATTTATAAATAATATGATGTTTTTATCAATATCAAGAATAATTTCACTTTTGATTTATGTCTTTTACTTTTACGCGGAAAAATAAATAGCCTTCTTATTGGTTTCCATTATCAACATGATCAGCCCCCTTGCAGAGCCATCGTGAAAACAATTGTGCAAAGTGGCGAGGAGGGTGAGCAAAGTTAACTTGTTGCTAACGCAAAAGCCATATGATCGCAACCAATCTTTCCGCCGGAACAGAGCACGGAAGGGACCGTCCAGCCAGCGTCTCACTTTGTACGACTTCTTGGATGCGTTCCAAAAAGTCGCACATAAATTACTCTGGCTATCACACCTGGCTTTGGCACTCACCTTTGGTTTGAGTGAGGCATCCTGACTGCGCCTCATAAGGGCAGTCCAGGTTCTGCGCCTTCGGACCGCAGTGTGGAACAATGTTCAGTTTAGGAAACTGAATTTTAATTAGCGCCGTGCCGTCCCTCATTTCGTCTGAGCTGCATATCTCACATCTTAGGCTGCTCACTGGAACAGAATTGGAAAGAAAATTAAAGAATTTGCGCAATCATGTTCATTTTTATTCTTCTTATTATGGAAGCAGAATGAAAGATTATTATAGATTTTTTTCCTGATATTCATTGTTACTCATTTAACAGTACAAAATTTGAAACTAAGACTATTTGGTTAAAAAATTTCAAAAAAAAACAATTTTTTAGGAATATTTTAGACACAGAAAATTGATTATAAATTTTAAATTTCACAACAATACTCTCAATACTCTATGTATGAATTTAAAAATTATTTCAAAAATTTCCATATATTTTTTTTTAAGTAATTCACAAACTTTTGATATATCATCAATTTGTATGAATATACTGAAATTTAAGTGAAGCTTACTTCTTTTTTATTTCATTCATAAAACACCCTATATGCATAATTATGTAAAAAAAACTCGTTTTATGAGCCATAATTTTTATTTGAATTTTGAATTAAAACTAGGAATTATTTTCATTTTTGCAACAATCATTACTGTCTTAAAATAATTTTTTGCTGCTCTTTTAATATTATACTAATATTCTAATTTATTTGAAAGTGTTCTGAAAGGAAAATAAAAATAGGGGACATTAAATTTTCCTTAAAAAAGCAGCGAAAGGATTTTTTTGTTTAAAGTATCTTTTGTGACGAAAATGCGGCAGCGCGAGTCAATTACTCGTCTGGCTCTGCTCATTTGCTATTATACATCGGGCAAGGTTTTTTCAAACCAGACGTGCTGTGCTCCGCAGATAACAGAAGTGCCGTTTCCCCGATGTAATTTCCATTTCGAGCGCGCAAAAGTGTAAAATTCTTAGTTACGATCGAAAAACTCCGCAGGCTCATCTCGTGTATATATTTTTGGAAAGTTGCCAATCTTCCCTTTTACACCCATATCCGACCTGTTGTTCATGAAGCGACAAAAAAGGAGGAAAAATAGGAAACAGGAGCCAAGTAAAATGAAGTTGGCTCCACGTTTCCTTTCTGCGAGACGGAGAGATAAAAAATGAACGCGCATTTATTATTTTTCTTACGGCTCGTTATTCCGATTTGTATCTGTATCTTTTTTCATTGACATCTCCTGAGAAGAGTTGAAAAAAATGTGCATCCGACTTTGATTTACAAACAGCCAGAAGGGTGAAAGGTCGCGTATGTAGAAAGAGTGCTTTTCTTTTGCCCCGTTGGCGCTTTTATTGTGCGCCGACCAATAAACGCAAACACGACACGATAATATTGCGGCCTTAATCGCGTCATTAATGCTTTTTGAATGGGCGTTCATGTTCCGTGTGTTGTGTGCGGTCTTGCATCGCGAGCGCGTCTCATTTGCATGTTTATTTTTCTATCACCAAAATAAGCAAACGACACAAAATAATAATGCTGTAATAGTAAACATGCCACAGGACCAGGATGCAGCGTCACGTGACAAATCACGTGAAATCAATCGGTCCTTTCTTTTCCCTCTCCCGATCAGCGGGCGGGCGCGCGCGACTCATGACATTGTTGCGGTGTCCGATGTCGTCGTATAATAATGAAGGATTTGCTCTGACGAACACGCCGATCGTCGAGTCTATTATTAGAATCAATTTGCCCAGGCTCAACGAGACCTAATTAGCAACAACGATCAATAAGCATCGTATTAACACGCGATATCATCTAAAACCATTTCCTTTTAAGCCAAAATCAGAAAAATATTATGTTTGTTTTTATGTGAGAATTTCATACAAGTTTAAAGACTTTACTAATTATTACCATTTGGGAAAAGGAATTGTTGGGAAAAATAACAACTATAAAGAATTTTGCTTTAACTTCCAAGATGCAAAAATTTTAAGTTGATGTTTTAAATTCTTATCTAATTAGAAATTTGTAATGCATCGAATTTTTTCAAATTGTTGTAAATTGTCAGATTTATTTTAAAATCTGGATTCAATTCAAATATTTTGTAATAAATACACTTTAATTTAAAATTTTAGTTGTTCATAGATATTTTTGCAACTGAAACAGAAATGGCAATTAATGCAATGTTTTGAGCTAAATATATATTTATTGCAACATAAAATGTTGATCAAATAATTTGTCAAATTATAATTTGTTCATTCTCTGCTTGTCTTGCTGTGCGAGGCCCAAATTAATGAGCTCCTTTTAACACCACGGCTGATTAAATTTTAACCCTAACTCTAGCTCTTTCTTGAACTTTTGCCAAAATTTATTTTAACCCTCTCCAAAAAATTTATGGAGCAAATTACTCTGCAAAATTATTTTTCTCTGCACATAATCTAATATTATTCTGAAGTGTGAAACTAAAAACTTCATCAAAAAGAAGTGCAAAGATAAATCTCGTCTCGCCTCTCCTTTGGGTCCTACGTCAACCTCAATAGGGCGACGAGTCAATCGCAGCAAATCCCATCGCGGCGGGATCGCAAAAATCCGCGCATTTGAGCAGAGTGAATGTCAAACGACACGCTCGAGCGATTCGCGTTGGCCCAAAAGCGATTCTGGCCAGGATAAGGCGTTGACATTTCATTTCGCGTTCACCCGTCCGTCCGGGTAGATTATGTAGCCAAAAACGGGAGAGACGCGGATGAAGTACAAGAAGAGCTAACTGTGTTGGTTCCTGCAGTTAGAGAATGACGTCGATTTTGCTAGGTTGACGTCAGTGGCTAGGAATTGGCGCATCTTGTTGCCGAGACACCTGTTTCTTGGCGATAAATCCGTCCCTTCCCCCTTTTTTGCCATGTTGACTTGAGCAGCTCCCGAATTTCAATTTTGCATTAGATAGCGATCTGTCGGCTCAAACAATGGCCGCATGGTAATTAAGCATGCATCCTGCCGTCGTCGTTCACAACAAACACTGAGGGAGCACAAAGTGCTTTGCAAATATTTGCCGTGGGCGGCTTTTAAAAACTCATTAGCCGCGTGATTGTCGCACTTGTTCTTCATGGCGAATCATCATCGAACGCAACCTCTTGTTTGTGTTTATTTGCGTTTGGGCTCTGGCGAACGATTTTTGTCGAGAATAATGACATGCCGCATGAAATTGCTCTTTTATAATCTCCGGTGTGAGAGGATGAGTTGATATTTTTCCGCCAAGTGTTGCTTCTCTCCCTGAAAGAGCTAAACAATTCTGCTGCTGATGGGGAAATACATTTTTAAATGTCCGGCCCCCGTTAGCTACTTTTTGTCTTCAGACGTCATTTGTGTTTTACACAGTAAAATCTTTGCCATGCTTTCTTTTACGTCAATTTAATTTAAATTTTAGTATTTTTTTAATTTAGTCTGAGAAAATGTCCAAATTCCAAGTAAGATTTGCCGCACAATAATCAAGAATAATGTAAAAAAATTTCAGTCTTAATTTGCTAGATCAGAAATTCCAATATTTTATTTATGATTGTCTCGTCGGATCAAAAGGTCAATCCAGGTCAATCCCATTCATACATTCTCAGTGGAGCTGAAAGCCGAGTTTGATATTTATTTCAAGCAAAACTAGGACCCTTTCTTATATTTTTTTTTATGCTGCGGTTTTATCTTGCTGAACTTAAACTAATTTTTTAAGTATTAAATCTTGAATTTTCTGTATAGCTCGAAAATTTTTAATTGAAAGTGCTCTTTAAAGATAAAAACCGTTAAAATTCAAATTTAGTCATGTCAAGAAGAATTACTGCAGTCAAAATTTAAATTTTTTTTCTTTTTCGCCTCAATAAATATTTTCTCTTCAGAAAATTGGTCAATTTATTATTGAAGGTTTATTTTGCTTTTGCCCTTGAGCTATAATCTCATTTGAATCAAAGTGGTGGCATTATTCGGAAGTGCAATTATGCAAATATGCTGTGGACGACGCCACATATTATTGTTCCTACAAGCAAGAGCTTCCCGGCAAATTAGAACTTATTTGACTCGTACACATATTTTTGTCCCTAATTTAAATTCACATCACGCAGCGACTCGGCAATTATGCTGTTTGCAAGTTTAAGATTAATCTCGGCAATTACAATCCAGGATCTTTTCACACCTGGCTGATACAATCGGCTGGAAAATTATGCATGCTAATAAACAGAGATGCCGTGCGCCCGATAATGTAATTCAAAACAAACGGCCCAATTATCGATCGGGCTCGGCGTATTAACCTAGCCCGATCACGGAAAGCGGCTCAACCCCATTCACCTCGGCATGAAGTGCGCGACAACGAGGCTCCAATTATATTTTTATATTTTGTTTGCCCTCCGTGCCTCTCAAGAGAGAGAGAGAAAAGAAAATCTTTACATAGAAAGAAGAAACTCATCTTGCCCCACTTTTTTATACAGCAACACAAACACATTTAGGGAGAGGTACACATATTATACCACCAGTGGGGTTCAAAAATAAAACGGTGGATAATCCCTGCTGCACCCCTGCGGCCCAGACGTGGATCACTCCTGATTAATGCACTACTAGCGCGAAATCAATAACGCTCCGAAAATAATTGATCGGAAGGAAGGTGCGAGTTGTTTTGTTTGGGTTAAGCACCCTTAGCACGGCCCCCGTCGCACACGGGGTGGGTGGTTGGTGGTGGGACGGGGTGGTTCGGAGCTGGACGCATACCTGGCGAGGCGACGAGCGGAATGGTGAGGATCAGCAATTGTCGGATCACATTGTCCAAGGGCGATAATTTCATCCTGACTGGCTAATTAGAACGTGCCGCCGCGCCTGGGAGGCATTGGTTCGATAGCTCCAGAGCTGCTGAGTGCAGCCTCCGACCGACCACGACGACGACGACGACCAACTCCGCGTTCGTCTCACCCTCCCGCAGTCAGTGAAAACATGCGCACTGCTCTCTCTCTTTCTCGCTTATATTAAATTGACGCACCGCCGAATTCTCTCTCTCTCTCTTTCTTTCGCTGGCCTTTCTTCTCCGACGTCGGGAAATTTATATTTTACGTCTATACTCTGACAGGATTTGACCTCTTCACCACTCTTTGATTTTGAGATTATTATCGGCGTCAAGGGTGTCTCTCATCTTTTTCTCGCCTTTGTCTCCAAAGAGACGGAAGTTGTTTTTGTTTGGCTGCCGTGAATTAATTAAAGCTCTGCCAAACTCGTAAATTTATAACAGCTTTGCCAAATCTGCCTTAGTTTACAGATTAGCTTTTCAAAACTTTTTAATATCCGAGTCAGGTATTTGGAAAAGTTTACTTTCCCCGCGACGAAAGCATAATGGAGAAGAGACATTTATGAGCAAACTTTACTTTTTGTGGGTGCCAAACTTTTCCTTTAATACTGCAAGCGTGCACAACACAAAAACCCCCATAACCGATGAATAAGTTGATGGGAATTCTGATTTGTGTGTGTCAATTGGCACGCGAACTTATTTTACATGTATATTCGGCGCGGGCATCTCTCTTTCTGAAGAGGCTGAATGTGCATTTTTTATTTTGTTGCGCTGGTGGCGGGACTAAAGGGGCACCGCCAGCATAACCGCGTCACAGGGTCGATGGGATCCATTGTGCGCGAGCACTCCCCTGGTGTCAAGGATGAAATAATCGATATCGCGATGGCCAACCAGCATTTTGCATTTGCCACACGGCCCCTCTACGAAATGCATCCGACCGCCTATTCATAATGCACTGCCAACTGCGGATTCATAACTTGAAAAGCCTAAAAAAAATCAATACATATAATTATAGTGTAAAGTTTCTTTGAGAGGATTTTCATAGTATTTTTTTTTTGTTTTTCTCAAAGCAGGATTTTTTTCATTTAATTATATTTATAATTCATTTTAATTTTAAATAGAGAAGCTTCTCAAAACAGCGCTAAAGATCAAAGTAATTTGTTGGTATTAGTGAGAATCAAATTCATTAAGGAAAGTAAAATGAGCATGAGCAAAAAAAATCGGAAAATATTCGCGAACCTTTTAAATCGTATATTATATTAATTTAAAAAAGGAATGGACGCAACGTAATTTTCTGTGTGTGCTAATCACTGCTGACGTATACATTGAGGTGCAAAAGAATTTCTCATTTGCGTTTCAAATAAGAAACGCCGCGCCTGAAAATAGTTCTAAAAGCAGAATTCTTGCTTGTAGACGCAGTAAATTCCAGCTCGTTCTAAGAATTTTGGTCTCAAAAGCAAAAGATGTAAATAAATGTTATGACGTTTTTACAGTTTCAACAACTTGCTGATAATAATATAAATAGCAAATATTTAAACAATAAAAATTGTCAGATTCATTAAAAAACTCGGTAAATTTCACAGTTAGTTAAACATTTTTTTTTTCATATTGTTATTTAAATTCCAATTCTATAATGTTCTCTTAATGATCATAGAAAAAAGAATGAAGTCATGATAATAATACTGCACGAGCTTTTGTATTGTAATCCAATTGCTTCTTCGTTGATTATCATTAACACAGTTGGGAGCTAGACGTGCCGAGACAATTAAACTCAATTCACTCCAATGGAGATTAGAAACGAGTTTCGTTCATTCTATTCGTAGAGAGCCGGCTCGATAGAAAAGGCTTTTGTTTCTTTCCTTCTGCGCCGCAAAGAGACTTTTCTTTTCTTTATTCCTTTGCGAGCCGGCGCGAGCACGTTTATACATAGAAGAAGAGTTGATCTGTGCATAAAAAATCAAATGGGGAGGTCAACACCCCCCTTGTGGCTGTCGCCGCGCTGCAGACCAGAAGAGAATTTTTTCACCCCCTGCCCTGCAGCAAGGCCGCCGTGATGAATGGGACGGTGTGGAGGAAGCGCATTTGATGTGGCTGGAACGAATGGGCCTGCAGATAAGATTGCGCTGAATTTTTAATTGAAAGGCGCAGAGTTGCAACTTTGAAGTAGCGAGGGGGCCAAAATAAATAGATAGGTTGCGTGGGAGACACAACTTTTTAAGCAGCGTGCTGAAACTTTCAAACTTTTACCAGCTATAGGGGTGCTAAATTAACAAAATCAATGCAATAAATAAGCACTGCAAAGGGTTGCAAGATTTTTATTTTTGAAGAACGTCAAAAGAAAAATCTCCAAAGAAATTAATGCAAAATTTTGAATTATTTTGTCAAATTCAATTTCAACTCCTATAAATTTTAATACATAATTATTTTGTTTTTAGTTGTTTTCTTTACATTTAATAAAATAATTTTTTAGGAGAAAATAGAGATAAAAATTTTTAAATTTTGACCCTCATATATAGCTAAATAATTAATTGTAATTTGTAAGGCGAAAAATTAATTGCAATGTCTTATAACAAATTTCCGCAAATTTCCATTTGGTATGTCAAATGCAGAAACTAACAAATAAATATAATGTATAATCTGATATAATCAAGAATTTAATGATATCAAAATAATTGAAATTTTGTGGATCAAATAGATAATATTAATAAAAAAATAAATATTTTAACTGTTTTTCTAATCATAAAAATTGTTTTATTTAATAATTAAATAATTACATATTTAATTTTTGCAGAGGTCAGAAATCACGGCGTGAGCTACTATGCGTTCTCCAAGGATGAGAAGCAGCGAAAGGCCCAGCAAGAACAATTGGCCAAAGTTCGTGCAGAAACAAAAAAGCAGCAAAATGCTGCCTTGGAAGGACGGGAGCGACGGGCGCAGCAAATGAAGGCGCGACTCAGGGCGGCCGCCAACAGGAAGAGACAAAGGCAAGGGTTGCCTCCGCTGCCAGACTCAGGTATAACTAAAGAATCGCATTTTATCAAGCAAGTCATCATTTTTTCTCACGCAGATGAAGAATCGGAGAGGAATGCGTCAGATGAGGAGGCCGAGATGGAGCGCGTCTTGGGGAAAGCCAAACCAGAAGCAACTGTGGAGCCTGAACCCTTGGTTAGGGAGGAGCAACCCCTTCCTGCAGTGGTTAGACCTTGGGACAAACACAAGGAAACCTATGGTAAATATGCGAGATCTATTAAAATAACTAATTAAATGTTGTTTCTAAAAAATCAAAGATATATATTTAAAAAAAAATTTTTTTAATCGATGAAATTAATTTTTTAGTGATGTCTCAAGAAGAGTGGTCGGACAAGAAAAGAGCAGAGAGGAAAAGTGAATTTGCACCTCCCAGCTCATTTGGTCCTAGTCGAAAGTCTCGTAGGCGATCTCGAAGCAGAAGTCCTCCAAGGAGAAGGAGCTCAAGCAGCAGCAGTGGTGAAGAAGTCATCGGACCCTTACCACCGATGCAATCAACCAGTTCTGCGCAAAAGGCGCCAGTTGATGACAATTCAATTTTTGCCGGACTGTCGTTCCTAAGAAAGCAAGTTGAAGACAAAACAAGCTAAATAATAATTCATTGAATTAGAGTCTAAAACTAAAAAAAAATTTTGTTTCAACCAGCCACGCAGGAATATGCTGTTTTGGTCATTTTTTTAAATTTAATTTTTGGAATATAAATTAAATAAAATATTAAGAAAGTTATAATTTTAATTCTTTTTCTTGAAGGTGAAACCTCAAAATTATTATTATAATTATTATTATTTTTTTGCATGGAATTTTATATTTATTTTCTTCTAAAATTTCTTTTTATTGTTCGTCATAATTTATTATATTATAATTATGGAGTGTGTCTAAAAAAAGGTGTTGCCTCGTTTTTGCTAAACAGAATGTAACAACGATTGTAGTAAATTACGCAATTTGGTCGTGAAACTCGTTCCGAGTCGCAATAATTTCTGCACGGCCGTGACGTAACCACAACCAATGAGATCATTTGTTGTTTGAGCTGCCACGGCCACGCCCACCAAACACAAATAATTCTTCCTCTTGCCTCTTGCGAGTGAAGATGTCAGAAGAAGAGGACCCGTTGGAGTCCCTTCCCGACTCGCAGAGCCCAGTTCCAGGGCCCTCGTCGGGAATCTCGGGGTCCGAGATGAATTACGAGAAGCGCAGGTTGGAAACGTTCCAGTCGTGGCCCGCAAACGCGGCCGTCGAGCCCCGAAAAATCGCCAAGGCTGGCTTTTTCTACACGGGTAACGAATTGGAAGTCCGTTGTTTCAGCTGCAATCGGACTCTTTCCGAATGGGATTACGATGATCAGGTTTGATTTTTACATCAAATTGATTATTTTTAAATTTTGTTTACGAATTAAACTAAAAATCTATCATTTTTAAACTTTTTTCAAAACTTAAAAGGATTTATTTTGTATGGATTAATATTTATGCCCCTTCTTTGACATTTTAATGGCCGGAATTTTTGGCGTTCTGCCACCGTTTTAACTCTCATTGAATAATGTATGTATTTCAAAAAATACAATCATTTTTAATTTTTACTTTTGTTATGTAAGACATCAAATTTTATTAATTTAATTTTTTTTTTAAATTCATCTAAATAATTTTTATTAATTATATTTTTCTAAATTTGTAGGTGATGGTGAAGCACAGAGCTTTGAGTCCAGAGTGCCCTTTTGTGGTCAGCCCTCTCGAATGCGGAAACGTGCCAATTTTGCGGCGAGAATCATCAGGCTTTGCGCAAGCTCAGGTTGATTACAGAATTGAATCGGAGCGTCTTGCTTCATACAGAGGCTGGTCGTCACCACACGTGACTCCAGAGGCGCTCGCCAGAAATGGACTCTACTATCTTCGGGAGGGAGACAAAGTACATATTATTTAATTTTGATGTACAATCTTAGTTGACGTAGATTAGTATTTTAATAATATTATGAAGGCAGTAATTTTATTATAAATATATAATTTTTTTAAATGATTTTTAAAGGTGGCCTGTGCGTTTTGCTCAGTGCAAATGTTCAATTGGAAAGCTGGAGACAATCCTCTCATAGAACACAGAAACTTCAGCCCAAATTGTCCTCTTCTGATGGGTTACCTTGTTGGAAATGTTTCGCTTGATCACACTGGGAGTGGTACTTTGATTGATCACGGAGAGGAGGATGATAATTACGAAATTGTCTCAACTTCTTCATCAGACGAAGGATCTGACGAGTACGGCATAAGAGAAAATTCAAGACCTATTGTCATTCAGCCATTTTCAGGTCTGACAATGAAACAAATATATATTATACTAGTTTGACCTCATTTATATCATAAGTAAAAGCAGTTTACTTGTTGAGGCTGTTTGTATTGAAAATTGTAAAAATCAGGAGCTTTAGTTAAAACCAACTTTTGAATAGTAGCAAAGTTTCAACATGGACAAGGCAATTTTTATTTTCATAAAAATTTCTTTACTTTTATTTTATTTTAGGCCCTGATGACCTGACAGGGGCAAACCCTGACAACGTTGAGCTTGCAAACAATCCTAGGTATGGAGCAGTGGCTCATCGACCTCCCATTCATCCTAGGTATCAGACTGTCCAATCTAGGTTGGCTACATTTTCTGACTGGCGCAGACAAACACCATCCGCAGAATCTTTGGCAGCAGCTGGTTTCTTCTACCAAGGTACTAAAAATTAAAATGTTTTAAATTGTTTTTGGATTTTGTTTTGTTTCTTAGGAATGAACGACCATTGCAGTTGCTTTCATTGCAACGGTGGTCTGCACAACTGGGATCCGAATGACGACCCGTGGGTTGAGCACGCTCGGTGGTTTTCCAAGTGTCCCTACGTCAACATTGTTAAAGGCCAGGACTACATCAAGGATGTGGTCAAGAACAAGCCTCCCATCATTCCTGTGGTTGACCTGCACCTGAACGACGAGGGAGAAGTCAATGGCGAAGCAAACAACGAAAACGAAGCAGAAAACCCTGCGCAAAATGGCCAAGCGCAGTGTGAGGAAGCAGAAGAGGCGGCAGCTATTGCTGCAGAAACTCTCCCACCAACAGACGAGACTGAATCAAAAAAATTGGAGGATGAAAAAACTAGGTTCACAGTTTCGTTAATTCTGTTTTCAAAATTTACTTATTCAAATCATATTTATAATAGAAGTGAAGGGCCAGACAAAGAGGACACTTCAAATAATCCGAAAGAAGTGGCTGGGCCAAAAGAAAAAGGTTGATTTTTTTTAGAGAACTTAGTTCATCAAAAGTTAATTTTTCTGTCCCCTTCAATTAGAATCTGAAGGCCCTTCGGCAAGTGAGGCTCATCTCTGCAAAGTTTGTCTGGACGAAGATGTGGGGGTAGTTTTCCTGCCCTGTGGTCATTTGGTCTCCTGCGTCCAATGTGCGCCAAACCTCAGCCTGTGCCCTGTCTGCCGGAAAGAAATTCAAGCCTCTGTTAGAACATACTTCTCATAAGCGCCCTAATTTTTCAAAGTACTTAAATTTAGTTAACTCCCCAAAGATTTACGACTGAGCATTTTAAGTCTTAATCAAATGCGCTGTTCCAAATTCCTATATTTAACCTGTAATATTTACAGTTCTTGATTAATGTCAATTATGATGTATCATTCCAAGCTTCTCTTACTCACTATCTGCTGCTTTAGTAGGAGCATTTATTTTAATTCGACGATGTGAATGCTCAAAGAATACCTCATTTTGATCCATTCAAAGGATAATTATTCAATAATTAACCTGGCAAATAGTCTTTCTTATTTAAATTATGATATTAAAACTCAAGTTCAAATTTATTGATATCCATAGTGGTGATATTCGAGAATTCATTTTGTCAATTTTAATCAGAATGCAAACAAATGCAAAGATATAGTTCAATGTTCTTATCATAAATGCATGATAAATTACTCTCATTTTAAGCGGTCCTGTTGCACACAGATTAATGGATTTGTCTAGTCACTGATCTCTTGTGCAGAGTTGGTTACATGTTAAGTAAACAGCCTTAATTAAAAATATTCTTTTGCACTAATTGTGTAATTTAATTGCCATAACGCTTGTACATATTATAGAAAAGTACCATAATTAATTTTTATTTTACAACTCCAATGTGTAGTTAAAAGGTGAATAAAAAATATTTTTCTTCTGCAAAATAAAAGGCAAATGAAAATTTTGATTGAAGGAGGAACAATCTAAGTAATCCAACAAGAAAGCATCATGCATGGTTTTGGATTAATTTGAGCAAGGATCTTTCACTTAGAAATAAATCAAATACATAAATAAAAGATCAATCCTTTTTTACTTCCTTAGCATTGAGGGCATTGAGTTTGAGTGAAGGGGCGTGGCTTACCCACCCACTTTCATTCGCTCCCCTCACATGTGAATATTGTGAATGAAAACTACCCATAATAATATATATTTTTTACGGTTGTCTTTGGTTGTCTCCTCCGACGGAGTTGTAAAATTTTAGCAAACAGTTGAAATTAATCAAAATGACCTCTTGGGCGAGTAAGTTGTACAGCCCACACACAGGATCAGATGTTGTGGGAGAATCAAAAACCCTGGCTGCTCTTGTCGAGGAGCAGGTAAAACTCAGAGGCGACCTGACTCCAAAAGAAAGACTTTACAGCATGTACAGCGTTGAGTAAGGATGCAATAACACTTGAACTAGACTGATTAACTCACAATCGTTTAAATTTATTTAGCGAATTTGGCAACTACAGCCCTGAAATTTCGTCAGTAGGAGAAATTGGAATGGCTAGTTTCATTGTAGGCGGATGTGTTGGGGGTTTCATCCACTCTAAAGCTTCGTATTTGCACTGGATGGATAACAACAAGGCCACATCATTTACAGACCATTTAGCCGCGAAAGTAAGAAATCATTTAGTATTGTCCTGGATAAATTGTAATTAATTTAATTTTCAGAGGAGTCTGCAAGACGCTGTTGTTAAAGGAATTTTTAAAGGTGGATTTATGTGGGGTTGGAGAACAGCTCTATTTTGCTCTGCATACCAGTAATGTTAATCCTCTGCAGTTTGTTTGCTGTTATATAAGGCTGATATTATAGGACCGTATCATCAACAGTCGCAGTTTATCGAGGAAAATATGGAATTCTCGAACACACTTTTGGAGGATGCACAGCTGGAGCTTTGTACAAAATGAATATGGGCCTTCGAGGATTCACAACTGGCCTCATCCTTGGTTAATTTATTTTTATTCAAATAGTAGCATGTCTGATTATTTAGTTACAATTGTGTTTTACGTATCTAGGAGGAGTTTTGGGCACCGTGGCAGGCGCGTTATCTTCTGCTCTTTGTTACTTAACGGGAACAGAAATGGAACACATTAGATTTTATCAGCACCAATGGAAATTAAGAGAAGAAGAGTGAGATTTTTCTTAAATAATTATTCCCCAATATTTTTCATTCTTTGAATGATTAGGAAAAAGAGGGAGGCAATACGAGCAGCACAAAAGAAGTCGGAATTGGATCTCCGAGATGAATTTGTAGGAAAGAACCGCGGTCTGGACAGCGTAGATCAGAACAATGCTTCTTAGTTGTGATACTTAAATAAACTAGGGTTAAATAGAAAAAAAATGTATTAAACGATTAACATTTTTTTAATGCTCATTAATATGCGTAGATGATTAGGCAAGAACTATTTGTTTTTTATAACCACTAATACAGTTTTATGAACTTCAAATTAAAAAAGTAAAAAATATGATGTCGAGGCTGGGTGGCTACACTGCTGCAGCTGGACACCGATCACTGGTCTCCCTGGACTGGTCTTGTGATCCGCTTGGCACCACGGTTGGGAGGACCCTTTGGCTTTTCAAATTGGGGCCGGTGCAAATTCTTCTTGGGATGAAGTTCCTCGAGGAGGAACTCTTCAGTCAGTTCGTCGCCACTGTCAATCTCCAGCTAATTTAAAAACATGAAATTATTTTCAACCTAAATTGCAAAAGTTCATACCTTTTTGGCTATTGCTACATTCAGTCCATTTTCGATGACATTAAGGAGAGGTGCTTTGCAGCTTGAATACAACATGCGCTCTTTGATTGAACAATTGTAGCCCGGCATGGAGTAAATGAATACTAAAAATGTATAAAAGATATCAAAATAATTATTAGTCTTAATGTCTTACCAAAACTCTCCATAAAGTCTCCCTCATGAGTGTGTTTGAAGTTGAAAATGTGATACCTAGCGGCATCTGTAGGTACTTGTTTTGGAAGCTGGGGCACAGTTATTGTGTTGGTGTCATCTAAGTGAATCTCTTCCTTTTCAAGATCTATCATTAAGATAAACTGAATATTGCGACTTGAATTGCGATTTAATCAAAACCAACCAATTCTCAGCCGGAGGTAGTTGTATTTTCCATCTGCGAAATGGACTATAGCATTTTTTGCCCCGACCGACACTGGGAATGCCACTGACTGCAACGTCTGTTGGCGGGCATCGACTCCTTCCGTGGATGTGCTTTCGTTCCTCTTCAACTCCATCAGCTCCTCCTCCCTGAATGTCAGGGGTGCAGGAGCCTTGCTTGTGATTCTATGGTTCTTGAAACCCTGCAGAGTGACGTCTTCTTTTGACGTCCCAAACAACTCTTCGGTGATTTGACTGCTACCGAATTCCTGTTTAAGGGTTGCCTTTGTTGAGGCATACAGCATTTTCTGCCTCACAGGCGAATCCTCTGGTGACCAGCTTATCAGGACCCAATCAAAATTGGAGCCGGTTTTGGTATCAAGCCTGCAATTAAATGTTTTAAGAAAAATAAAAAATTTTATTAAATTTTTGTAATAATACCTATAAAGCAAATAGCACGGTTGCTTTTCCTGGACCATTCGTGGTACACACAAGTCGAAATCTTGCTCCCAGGTTCCTTTGCTGTTTTTATGCTCCGCCAAAATAAGCTCCTCTATTTACGAATAATTTATTAAAGCAAGTTCTTTTTTTAACAAATTTCCTTGCCATTTTCAATCGAGACTTTGAAGACCCTCACTTTTCCGTCCCGGCATTTGCCGAAGAATTGCAGCAACTCGTTGTTTGCTATGAAAACAATACATAGTTTAAAAAGAGTAATTTATTCGCTCCCCGTACTCCGTATAAAACAAGCAAGCGATTGAGATAATGAAGCCTTTGAAGAGCACAGTAATAAAACACGGCTTCAAAGTGACAGGTGTTTTCAATCAGAACTCGACAAGAACAAGGAAGTTATTTTTTTAAATACATGCCTTTAATGCCCGTTTGGTGAGACATCTTTCTCGAGTCCGAGTGTAGTTGCAAAAATACTGAAAAACAGCCAAAACCTTATCTCATTAGTGCGAAATCTGGACGAAATGATCACCCAAGAAGAACCAAAACTTCCTGCCCCGCCCCTCTGCGAAATGACAGACCGAACGAAAACATCCTCTTTGGAGCCACCAAGGTCTGGTCACTTCTGATTGGCCGAGAGGATCAAGAGCCAGGTACCGGCAGCCAATCAGCGTCGCTCACCTTTCGTGACGAGTGCTGACACCTTTGCGGGATTCTGCACTCGTCGCGATTCACGAAAGAAAGATTTTTCATCACCAACGCGCTACACTAACTTGTACACGACAGGGAATTCGCAATAAAATTTGGCCTGCACTCGCGCCTTATTCGGTTCGGCCTCTCAACTCTTTATGTCCGCCAGCTGAATCGATTTTGCCGGGCTGCCGGAGTGCTATACTTTTTTTTTGTTTTAATTCTTTAATAGGGCGGCTAGAGTGCGCGTTCTCTCAAACGCGTTGTTTAAAATGAACAGTCACGAACCATAAGCGTGTATAGGCATTTTGCTCGCCACAAGTGTCATGCCGGTTGCATACTAATGTCACACAGGCGTCAAATTTTATTGTCCGGCGCGGCGCTGGGCAAAAAGCGTCTCGCATTTGCTATGGAAAATTTAATTTCCCCCTTTTATGGTTTGCATGCGTCGTTAAATATATAGATTGCGGAGAAGAGCTAATTCAAAAATTATTCGCACGCATAACGACACACGAACGAAAATGAGATATTCAAGTGGAAAATATATTGCTTGCCGTAAAATATTATTTGTGCTCGCTCTCGTATACACTGTTGGAGACGCTTTTCTCTTATATTGTAACATCAGGGTTGCCAGAATTTTTCCGAAAATAAATAACCAATAGATATTATTTTTCTACTCTAAATTTTGTAGGAATAAAATAATTTAAATTTTAACCGAGGTAAAATTTTTGAGCAAAACATAAAGTTAGAAAATTGAAACCGGGATTAAGCTCGTTGAAAACCCAGTCGATTAATTATGAGGAATTTCTGTTTGTTTGCTTCTTTCAACGAGGAAAAGATTATTATTGCTTTAAAGATTTTTCATCAGTAGAATTTTTGTTGTGAAATATATTTATTCTTCTCAGTCAATATACAAAAATTTAAAATTGGAAAAAGTGAAGAAAGGGTTTAAAACTTAATACTAGCAGATGTCTGCTAGAGCGCTCAATATCAAAAGAGACTGAATTGCTGAATAGCTTCCGAATGGGCTTCGAAAATTTTGCGACTTTATTAGGAACGCTTTCCAAATCTTGGGATGGACCATCAAAGTGTATCAGACACTTTCCTTTCGGGCAAACAACGGCGCACCGTTCTCTGTGCCTATATCTCGTCGCGCCTCTGCAAAAAGCTATTTCTCGCGCTACACACTTCAGGTTTAAAAGATTTTATTGCTTTTTTATGTGCACCAACTATAAAATTTGGAGCTGCTCATTTTAAACAGCGCCCGCTCGATGCTTTTATGGGTGCTCGCGCGTTCATCATGACGACGCCAACTTTTAATAATGCAACGCTGCCAGGTACAAAGTGCTTGATCATTGACACAAGAGAGGAGCCTGCTGATAAATCGCCCTCCTCTGGACCCTTATTGTTTCAAAGCGCGAGCGTGTGGCAGTAGATTTGCGACGTAAAATTTTATGTATTCGTATAAAATGAGACGTGAACGGAATAAATTTTTCCACCCGACTGGAAAGGGAATTTATTCGCACTATTGGAATCATGAGCAGGTAATGCGTCTTGCGTGCAATTTAAAGTATTGCCGCGCCATATTGAATTCCATAAATCTACAAACCAGAGAGATAACAGGCAAAATTGAAATTTGGCGCACGTCCCGCTCGCAGAATATATTTCGGCTTGATTAGGCATGCGGATGGACGGACGCCTGCTTTTAATGAATACGTGCGCACCACCAATGTCATTTAATATTTATTCAGCTAAAACACGAGCAATCAGCCGAACACAGCGAGTGACCTTTTGCGACCCTCCTATCTGCGCGTTTAAAATTGCGCGATATCGATACGCAGTTTAAATGCGTCACTGTTCAATTTTTTGTTCGTGTTTTCCATCAAGTGTAATCTGATTAGCACTGCTTGGCTCAAAAATACTCGTTAATCTCCATCACCAGTGAAAAGCGTTGAGAGCATACTCTGCAGTAGCCCCCACGGTGTTATTTCAATATATTTTTCTATTATAGGAAAAAGTTTCACCGTTCAGTCCATTGAATTTGTTTGTTGGGCACAAAAATCAGAAAGTTAATGAAACTGTGGATAGAGTGACTGGCGTGATTTTCAGATTTGCGGTACTCCTCTTCAACGCGACCGTTTCTGCACAACATTTTCCGCCGCCGCGTATGTTCAGAGAAAATTAGTTTTGGAAAGAGCTTTTAATGTAATTAGGGATTGCTTTTCCTGCAGAATTCCAAGGAGTCGGAAACTTGAGCTCCGATGGATGCGGCAAGGTTGAAAAATATGCAGATGTGAGATGTAAAAAGAGGTTTACTTAGAAAATGAAAAGTTTGCGTTTTGGACTGGAATTTTAATATGATACAAGGATTCATCGCTCACAATGCGAGAAAATCTCTTAAAATGTTGTTTTTCAAATCATTTTTTTATGCATTAAAAAAATCTGCAAAATATATATACGTCTTGAAAATATTAAAGAAAATATTTCCATGGCAAATACTAACTCTGCTTTGGTAAATTTTCAGCTAATTCCCATGTTACAATCTGCATTTTATGCCGTGCCGCATATTATTCTTTGAATTCTTTGCATTATTCCTGGCTAATATTTAAATTATAAAATTATATTTGGATATTTTTCAAAAGCAGCCTGGTTAGGAAAAATTTTAAAATTAATTTATTCCTATTTTATAAGATTGCAGGCAAGAGGCTTTTGTTAAATAAAGTACTGATTTTTGTTTTTTTAGAAAACTTCCAATTTGTAACTCGACTATTTTCAGGAAATAAAAGGAATTAAACAAAATAAGTTACTGCTGTGTGGGTTTGGTTATATTCCCTATAAATTGTACACTTCTAAATATTTGAGATTTGATTTAATTTTCTGGGAATACAGTCTTGGTTTTTCGGGAAGGGGTTGCAGAAAGGGCGCTCTTGAGCGGGGTCGTAGCTGTGGGCGGCGGCAGGCAGCTGGAACGAATGCCTCAGAGGTGGCTGGTCAGCTGGCAGCAGCAACGGTCCGGACACCTGCGGAGGTGGTTGACTCGCAGCAGGACGTGATGGTCGGACGGATGGCAGCGGGCGGAACCAGGTCTTCTCCTGAGAGCCACGGCAAGGCAGGTCACCGTCTGGAGGGCCTGGAAATTAGGGGAATAGTGAGTATGGGCTGGTTATTGATAAAATGGTTGTTGTATTTAATGCAACAACACAGTCGGACTTAGTTTACCTGGGTTAATTGCAGGCACGGGTGTGGAGGGTGACTTGTAGCAGCCGGGGTGGAGTGTCCGGGTTAGGCGCCGCTTCTGTCCGACGTCGCTGTCCGGTGAGAGGGTCCGCCCTAGAACAGTATTGGGGCCATCAGCTGACCGCAAAGGAACTAGAGGGCGTATCTCTTACCGTCAAGGTTGGACGGGACAGGTGCAGCTCGGGATCCTCTGGCTGGGGCACAACTGACCAGGGTGGAGGCAAGGGAGGCCGTCCGGTCGTCGGGGACGGAACGGTCTGCTTGGAGTCGATCCTGGGAACAAAGAGTTAACTTTAGAGTTCCTCCGTCAGCAGCAGTGGCAAGAGAGTCGCCTACCTAATCGGTTAAAGGCGGATCTGCAAGTCGTGCTGCGGCCGACGGGGGAGCTCCTTATATACCATAAGCACCCACCCACTTTCCATAAACAAAAGATTGCCCTTCTACTAGAATATTCCCACCCATCGGTCGACGTGAGAGAATTCAGGCAACCTTTGTACCTGAATTCTCCAACGTCAAAAGAATTTACTTTTCATCCCAAAAATAGACTTGTTAATTCTCAACAATTGATTTCCCACAAAAGATTATTAGACTGATTTTTAAAATTAATTTCACTATTAGGATTTTAATTTTAAAACCCACTTAACAAAAAATTCATAAAAAAGAACTAAGAACAAAACGTACATAATGCATTAACAAACCCCGTAAATTAATTTGATTTCTCTTAACAAAAACAATCCTTAAATTTTTATACCAAGCCAAATAAACATAAATTTTGAGCTGATGTTAAGCCCGATACTAGCAAAAAGAACTGAATGAATCAAAATATTGAGGTGCCCCCAAATTGTTTCAAATGTAACAGGCTAGATTTTTAGTTTCCGCTAAGTGCCGATGGGATCAATTAGGAATTATTGGTTCTCAAGCTAATTTAAAATTTACAAATTTTTTGAAAAAGAGGTGCTTACATTGGGGTCGGTCAACTTCAATTCTGAGGTTATTTGTCTAACAATCTACATTATTACAATTCAGTACGCTCTCTCGCAGATCAAGCGCAGCATCCTCGATGAATCGCAGACTGTGGTTCTGCTTATTTTGGAGTCAAGTGCCCCTCGGCGCAGTAACTGGATCCGTCCTATTTGCTTGTTCAACAAGGGCACTGCCGAAGGAGACGGCCGACCAACTAGCAAGTATCAAGTTCACTTGGTTTGCCAATTATTTAACCGCAGAACAACATACCAAACTTGGCCGTACCTCATTTTCAGCCTTTTATTGGAGGAAGACACGTGGCTAGCAAAATATAATCTATTTCGCTGAATCTATTTAATATATTATGTATTTTGTATCAACATCATCGTCTGGTGCCACAAAGATTTATCATTTAAATAACAAATAATTACCAAAAAGCTGTACTTCAAATAATTTCACAGTTCTATTAGTGAAAATGATATTTTTCCTTTTATTAAAAACGTATTATCGTCAAAGGAATAAGAAATAAAATAATTATTAAGAGAAAAATTTCACGTTTCAAAGTTATAATTTTTTATCATGACTATTATAGCCTATAAATGCAAATAATTTTTTAGCCATAGCTAAAAAAGAGACTTTTTATGAAAAAGATTTTTTAAACACGGAAACATGATAGATTTATTTTTCAAAATTGTTATTTTCTCAGAAGAACGTATTTTTTTTTAGCTTACAGTTATGAGGAGTTTTTTAATGAAGATAATAATCATACAAATAATTTACCTGGCGTTGGTTTGAAACCCAAGTTTATAATTGTCATTTTAATTAAGGCTGCATTTAAAATTTAGCACTTTTATAAGTATGCAATCTCCTATTTTTTCCTATCTCATCTTTTGTTATTATAAACGTATCACATACCAATTTGCAATGAAAACTGAATTGATCAGTCGAAAAATTCACTGGAGTTTTGAAATGATAATCTAATTGATCAAGCGCCGATGACAGAATGATGAGTGCGTGATTCCAGAGCGGATCGTATAAATTTTATAACTCGCGCAGATATGCGTAAAAGAGAGGAGAGCGAGCGAGAGCGTTTTTGCGACGGCAAGTGTCATAAAACGCGAGAGAGCAAAGCGGATTTAAAACGGATCAGGCCCGACGAGGTGTGATTAAGTGGATTGTCACGCGGCTCCGGAGAGATCACATTTCACAATGGGAATTTAATTTCAAGATAAATGCCGAACAATCTTTCATCTCGCGCCCGCACCGAGCCATAACTCTAGGCTACTCTACTTTGGCACCGTCGCTGACTAATGAGCCACCCATGGCCATGTTAATTGGTCACATCGCTGTGTATAAATAATCGGTTCTTTTCTTAACAGATGAGAAATGTAGATTAATGCTGCTCAGCTGCGTTCCAGAAGTTGAATATTAATAGTGACGGAGAAATGTATTGGACTATTTTGGGCCTTTCAAAATGATCTTGTTAATTAAATGTTGGTTTACAGCGCGGTTCATTAAGATTAATCTATATACGCGGCGGCAAAAGTTTAATGACGTGCCGAGAGGTTTATCTCGTAGTGGAATCTTTCACAATTTTATCAATTAAATTTTCGCAGTGTTGATGCTTTTGAAAATAAGCATTGGCTGGTGTAAAATTCTTATCAGGCAATCAATCTAGTAACATTGCATGTTGAGTATGCAGTATATTTTAAAATGAAGGTAAAACATAATGTAATGAACTTTGAAGAGAAAAAGGATGCGCTTTGATTGCTGATGTTTCCATAGATAATTATTTTTTTTCCCGTTATTTCATTCTTCGAGGGCCTATAGCATAGCTTGAAATATTTTCCTTGTTTTTGAATGAATGAATGCTTTTATTGTACACCATAGGGGTGGTACTATGCAAATTCTAATACATAAATACATTTACCTTTTTTTTTAAATCGCTATACTAATTGCAAGAAAATATTTTTTAGACATAAGATTTTATTGATGCAAAGTTTAAAAATATCTATCCTCTGAAAATCTAAGCATTTAAATTTTAGTTTTGCAAATTTATTACAAGGAAGTAATGCCAAGTTTACGAATTCCAAATATCATTGGTCAGGTCACTTTCTCCGTATATGAGAATAAAGTTGTTCGTAAATATTTTATTTTTCATCAAAACCCCTTGAGATTTCACGCAGAATTGCGCTCTTTTCACATTTATAAAAAAGAGAGAAATTAAAACTTTCAACTGCGAATTTTATGTGTTCCTCATATAAAGTTAATTACGACTTGGAAAGTGTTTTTGCGCAGACGAATAAATTTGCGAAGCTTAAAATGAGCCTCCCTCTCTCCAGATGATGATGATCCGTAGCGAGAGATGCTCCCATATGTTTCAACAGAAAATCCAAATTAATCCCCCTACAGCTATATCCATGAATTATGGAGCACATTATTAGAGGCGCGTGTGTGCGGGCCATTTCGGCGCATTCTACTAATTGCTTGCTTCATGCGAAAACGGATGTGTCGAGACGAAGCGCCCAGATGGGCAGCATTAAATTATGCAAAATATGGCACACACCGCGTGTTTTAAGAAAATTGCGTTTGTACGCGAGACAGCGAGCGCAGGTGTGACATTGATTGATTTGTGCCATTGCTCAACTACATAATCTAATTTGTAGAATCTAAATTTGAAAATTTACAGTTAACATAAATTAAACAAGAAAATCCGTTTCAGTTTATTCCTATCTTCAAAAATGACAACAAGAAAGTTAAAAATAATAAAACAATATTAAACGGTTTTGCATTTAAAATTCAATTTATATTTAATTTCAAATAATTACCACAAGCAAATATTTAAAATTACAGCTCGGGAATAAAAATTTTCCTCAATTAAATTCCCATATTTATTGATAGACTGCAATAATAGTCTGTTGTCTTTAATAAGCTGGATCAGTGGCTGGCGCTTCTGTAGAGCCTCCAGCTGGATCTCCTCCAGCATTCTCGTTGCTGGGCTGTGGTGAAGACGAAGACGCAGATTTTGAAGATGCAGTTGAAGCTTTACTTGATGGAGTTGGGAATTTTGGACGTGGTTTTGATTCATTTTTGCTACCGTTCTTATTCTTCCTATTGCTATTATTTTTGGCCTTATTCCCTGTTCTTTTACCTTTTGCGACTTTATTGGCCGTCTTTGGTTTCGACTTGTTTTGAGAAGTCCTTGGGCCACTCTTGTTTACTCCTCCTTTGCCATTATTCTTATTCTTGTTGGCGCCGACGCCTTTCTTTTTGCCACCACCACCACCAGGTTTGTTACCCTTCGGTTTATTACCCTTGGTCGACGGCGTGGTTTCTTCGGGTCCGGTTCCGTCTGCTCCCTCAGGTTCTGAAAATTGCGGTTTTGCTTGTGGTGCACCCGAATCGAGACCTGGAGGACCTGCAGCCGGAGGTCCAGCACCCCCTCCGCCTCCTGCTGCTGTTCCATCTGAAGATCCTCCGCCACCCGCGGCTGGGTCAGTCGCCACTGGGTCTGTCGCCGCAGGGTCAGCCGCTGCTGGGTCAGCCGCTGGGTCAGCTGCGTAATCAACTGCAGACTGAGCCAAAGTGCTCCAACTTATTGCCACAAGACAGAGGGCGATCAACTAGTAATTTTTTATTTCTTTAGTATTGTGAAATTTAAATTTAGCAATAACAATTTAAAAAAAGGATTGCAATAGAAGATTTTAAAATTCACAGTGAATTGAATTTCAATCAAGTACTTTCAAAGGAAAAAATAACAATATCCTGCTCTACATTTATGACTGCGGGCTGAAGCTGTGAACACATTTAGATCCAAATGTATTTGTCGACAAATGACTATATTAATGTTGAATAATTTTTTATTAATAGTTAAAACTTTTAGTGAGATAAATAATTTTACAGCTTTCTGAAAAAAAAATACGCAGTGTAGCATGTCATGTCGTAAAAAAGAGTTCTGTTTGAAGCGTGGAATCAACTAGTAAAGCGATTCTAAAAAATATATGATCTATTTCATGAAAAACTAAGATAATCTAATTGAATGGTAACACTCGAGGTGTAAATTCACTAATTTAGGTTAAAATCATTTGCATCTCATGTAATATGGCTGCAACCCAAGGCTGAAGCAAATAGAGCAGGATATCGATTTTCATATGAAGCACTGAACTACTCAAAGTACCTCACTAGAAAAAAAGCCAAATTTAGTTAAAATTCACTAAAATAAAAAGTAATATTAAATAATTATTATTTTTAGATACATTTTTTTGTGCCGAAAAAATTGAATGGAGAAAAATAAATTGTTTATAAGAAAATAATTAACAATTATGTTCAAAGCAAGTGAAATAGATAGATTCAGAGGTAGCTATAAAAATGTGAAAATTTATTTTAGTGGATAGAGTACGGGGAAAATAAATTGTGTACTAGCAAAAGTGAGTAGATGGTGGTTGCATGCCAATCAGACGAATCGATCTTCTCTTTCCTGACATACACTTTTCTTTCAGCCTCCTTTTACAGTGTAACTATCGTGAGATGTAATATGTATTTTCTGTTCGCTATGCTTGCCATACTTTCTGGACCGTATCGTGTGGTATGATGTGTGTATTCAAGATGGATTGAACACCATGTCAGAGATGGGAAAAAATATCAAGCGTGATCTCTCAACTCACTTTACTCAACCATTATTGCAAAAATGTTCTCCCACTGAATTGTATACTCTGAAACGTTTTACATTTATTTTTTATTAAAATAAAATGCTCACAAATGGTGTTAAAATGAATTCTACGGTATTAATAGAAATTATTATTAAAAAAAAAAAAAAAAAATTGTGAGAGCAGCACAAAGTAAAATATTATGTGTTAGAATTTTA